TATTGTTAATTCTGTAACCAACCAATTACCTCTGCGACATGTACACCTACTCTGCTAAATGAATTGAATTAATAATTCTGCTACTTTAGTTAATCTTTGGAATACCATGGCGCCCCTCGGTACACAAACATGCCACTTGACACCCACACTACCAAATTGTGCCGCTCGGCATACCCTTCACGACTACCATTCCAATCGAATTACCAGTTCCCCTTGTCACACTAACCGTGCCCCCCGGCACGACATGCTTTCACGCAGCCTTTCACATGTTTCAGTCTGTTACTGATACCAACATAGAACCTTCCAGTTTTTCCTTCGATTACAGGTCTCATATCAAAAGAATATATTTGCAGTAACATAGCAACCATACCCACGTCAATACATGATAATTTCAACACTCGGTTCATCGATTGAAACACTACAGCGTTAGCACAAATACCACATATACCAAACAACAATGTGTTCATACAAAAATCACACACAACAACAATTTTACACAACCCAATTCCTACCTAACATGCATCATAATTCCCATTATAGAGTCAGAACTCCACCCTTACCTTGGATTGAAGGTCGCTCTTCGATTTTCTGATCGAACCTAGTCTTGTGCCTCTTCGCCTTATCTCTGTAACTTCTCACGTACAACACTTTCTCTACTCTTTCTCTTAACCCTTTTTAGTTAACCTAATTTCTATTATTTAACTAAACTCAATAATATTATTATTTCTATTGGGCCTAATATTCACCCCCTTAATACTACGTCTATTACCAAAACAAGTTTAACAACTAATACTATTAATATTCTACAATTCTTATATTATTACTAATATCATTAATCAACTAATTTAACCGACTAATAACAACACCGCAACTTATGTCAATAACTCACAACATAACATAACATGTCAATGATTTCAACAAATAATTCAAAATGAATCAAAAATATCTAATTAAATAATTAAATAAATCAACAGGCGTTAAAATTACCACGTACCTTGGGTGGACATGATTCCGTATGGGTGATTGTAGACCTGTTGACGAAGTCCGTGCATTTCTTACTGGTTAAGGCAAAACAGAAAACTCCTCATCTGGAAAGACTTTTTGTAGCTGAAATTGTTAGATTGCATGGAGTGTCATCTATCATTGTATCAAACAGAGATTCGAAATTCACTTCCCAATTTTGGAGGGCGTTTCATCATGAAACGGGAATATAGTTAAATTTGAGTACTTCAAACCACCCTCAGACTGATGGGTAAACTGAGAGAACTATCCAAACAATTGAGGACATGTTGAGAGCTTGTATTCTTGAAAGTGGGAGAAATTGGAAAGATCATTTTCCTTTGATTGAATTTGCATACAACAATAGCTATCACTCGAGTATCGACATGACCCCATATGAAGCCTTGTATGGAAGGAAGTGTCGATCGCCTTTGTGTTGGCTGGAAGTTTGTGAAAAAGGAATTATTGGACCAGAGATAATCCAAGAAACAACTGAGAAGATTAAAATGATCCAAGAGAATATGAAAAAAGCACAAGATTGTCAGAAAATTTATGCAGATAAAAGGAGAAGACATGTACAATTTAATGAAGGTGATCATGTATTTTTGAAAGTTACTTCAAGGCTAAAGTGGAAAAGACCGTTTAAGACACAAAAGCTTAGCCCGAGATACGTGGGACCTTATCATATCATGGGACGAGTAGGTGAGGTTGCATATCGGTTAGCGTTGCCTCCTTCTCTATTCGGGATGCATGATGTATTTCACGTATCCCAGCTTCGGAAGTTCGTGCCAGATTCATTTCATTATATCCTTCCAGATGTTATTGAGATAGAACCAGATCTTTCCTTTTACCCGCAACCCGTTCATATTTTGGAGCATGCTAGTAGATCCTTGAGGAGTAAGGAGATTCCTCTTATGAAGGTGTTGTGGGAAGAGTCTCATCCCGATGAAGCCAATTGGGAGCTCGAGTCGGAGGTGCGAGAGTTGTACCCTCATCTTTTCTTGTAAGTTTTCGAATTCGAGGATGAATTCTAAATAAAGGGGGAGAATGTAATATCCCATTTCATCTCTAAATTCGATTAATATTAGATTAGAAGAAAATTCTTGTTTAGTTTGAATTGAAAAAAGGGGGTATCTTAGTCATTACTATATAATTGGGGGATAAATTTCTCTTTTGACAATTAAATGAAAACATAAGGGGCTGTTTGGTGTGAATCTCATTTGATTTTGTATAAAAAAAAGATTTTGAGTAGAAGAGAGAAAGAGAAACGTGAGAAGAAGAGGAAGAGGAGAAAGTTGCTCAAGCCTTCTTCAACCTTGCATGTCCCAAGATCATTCCCTATCTCTTAGTTCATCATCCTTCTTGTTCTGATTTGCAGCCTCTTTATCATTAATTTCTAAGGTGAGTCTCATTAGAATAGAAACTTGGGGGGAAATATTATTTTGGGGAAGATATGGGGAAAGGTTTTGAGTGATATATGCATCATAATCCTTGATAATGCATGATTCTGACTCTAATGCTATAATAGTATGTTCATGCATCCCTATTTTGACATGTATGTTGCTCATTTCGAATCACATGTGGAAATTTGGGGTCTTGGGGATCCAAGTCTGAATTCTGCATTTTCTGTTTTTTCTGAAGGCAATAGAGTTCGCTTAGTGAACTACAGTTCACTTAACAAAGGTCTGAGACTTAAAGGGGTATTTTTGAAGCAAAGTTCGCTCAGCGAACTATGATTCGCTTAACGAAGTAGCCTTCGCTATAGAGTTCACATAGCGACGGTCTGGGACTGAAGGAAAGAATTAAATGAATTACTTGCTACTAGTTTGCTTAGTGAATCGGGCACTCGCTGGAGGTTTGCATAGAGAACTGTGCCTTTCTGAACTGGATGAAGCTACTGACTTTATTCGCTGGAGCTCACTACTAGCTCTCTTAGAGAATCGAGGCTTCTCTACAAGTTTGCTTAGTGAACTTGGCCTGACAGAACTATATGATTTTCTCCCCAAGTGCATAAATGTTCCTAAATTTGGAACGGATCGCCTTAGTAACTATCTAATGATATTGTATGCATGTCTAAGGCTAATGTACTGTTATCTATGCTCTTGGAATGTTCTTGAATTCTATTTATGCTTAATATATATTGGGTTATAATGTATTATGTGATGCATGAATTGACGTGAACAATTGTAGTTGTTTGTCGTTTCGGTTGAACGTTCGGATGTATTTTCCTGTGTGGCTTGATGTGCTTGATTGCATGATATATGCTTGAATTGAAGTAGGCATGTTAATAGATGATAAATTACTTATGACCATGACTAATGATGTGTGTTCTTTAGTTCATGCCTTGCTGTATATTCTGGAATACCTTGCTGTGTGTTATGGGTATGTCATACACACCTGAGCTATCATTGCGATGTGCACTTGGGGGTCATTTGGGGCGTTTCCCCGCTTGTGGAAATCACATTGGTGTGCTTGATATAGTGGGAAGGAAAATTGCCACGTAGGTAATCCTTGGTTTAACTCACCTCTAATGGTACCACGTAGGCAAAACCATTAGGCTTTCACTCGATGGGCTCGTGTTGTCAAGACGACATTTTTGTACCTAATGTTGGCTTTGCGCCGAATAGGCTCACACGTACAAGTGTGATGATAGACGGGGCAAAGACGCCACATATGAAATGTCACCTTGGAGTTTAACTCGTCGCAAATGGAATTCCAATTAGGAATGATCTGATTCATCATGCAGTGTACTGATACAAGTCTCTTGATGCGATGCACATGAGTAACTCATCGAGGGTGTGCATATGTAGTTTGTTGAGAAGGTAGAACATACTTCGAGATTCCTTGTACACGGGTACGTGTTTGCATATTGTTGTGGTTGTTGTTCCTGGTCTTGTGTCGATTATTTGTGGCCTTTGTGTCGAATGTTTTCTTGTTGCCTCATTGGTTAGTTATGGGACTTCCAATGGTGGTGTACCCTTGTTCTGTATTTGCACCCAACTGTGAAATAAAACTTCGGGTTCTCGGTGAATCCGTTATGATGCATGCATCCTGTAGTACTGAGCGAATCCTTACGATAGAGAGACTCACTGAGATTTAGTAATCTCACCCCATTCCAATTATCATTTTTAGGATAGTTTGAGGCAGGATTGAGGCAAAGGTAAGATGACTTAGCTTGTCGGCGATGTTCTTTGCGTTATTCTACTCTTTCTGCATTTTCAATCTATGTACATCCGATCATGTATTAATACTTATTGAGATTTGTATATTTTTGCCATGATAGTTTCAGCAAAAATTTGTAACTCGTACTAATACTTATATTTATTCCGCTCTTATGTAAGAATGTTTTACGTATCATGTTAATACCATATGTATATATTTTAGAAAATATATGTATTAGGTGTTACATTTAGAGCCCCAAACTACTGTTTGATAATTTTATCGGGGCTAGGTTAGGTTAGTCATAATCGCAACGTTATCTCAATGTTTGATATAGAAAAATTTTGTTCTTTATGTTTGATGATTATCAATTTATATAAGTCTTCTCCGCACAGAATCAATTATGACCAACTTATTACTCATTATTGTTAATATTTCCTTTCCTATTTAATGGCTCGCATATTCAGCCTGTTTGTAGAGGTCATAGATGAAATGTATTCGCCCCTAGGCCAATACATTCACTCGGTCCATTAGGAGTAATTCAGTGTAGCCAGTTTCAATGATCGATTTAGGTTCAGACCTGACCCAAATGTTTTAGGGAGAGGGACCGAAATATACAATTATTAAAGATTGTAATAAATTAGTTAATATTGCAGCGCATAAATTAGTTAATTTTTGTGAAGATTGGATACTCTTTTGGAGAAATAATATTAGTCTAGTCTTATACCAAATTTAGTACAACTATATTGCATTAGCAATTGATTATCAAGAACATCATATGTGTCTCCGCCTACAATTCAATACCATAAATAGTACAATCTCTTCAAACTTGGCCATGAATCTCAAGGTACAAAATTATAGTACAAACAAGAAAATTTAAAAGTACTACATGTTCCAACAGGGAAGCTCTTATTACACTTGAAGCCAGCACCTCTCTTATTTTGATAACCTGGGTAAAAATACTTAGAAAAACTCACCTCTTCAACAAATGATAACCTCTCATTTTCTGCCAGATTCTTGATATTCCATTTACTAAAAGGATGTGCTGTTTTATGAGTAATATGAATTTCTCCACCAACATTAAGCAAGTACTTTGCATTTCCTAGAAATCCACTCACTAATTTCTTGTGTTCCCTGTATTTAATAATGAAATGATAAATCTTAATTAATTAGGATATACTAAAAGCATTTTTTATTCAATACAAAAAAAATAGAAAAGAAACTAAAAATAGGGCGAAAACTTACTCAATCACCCAGTGTTGAGTTTCATGTCGAAAGTTACCAGAATGAGGAAAATTAAAGATTATTCGATCAAAAAAAATGTGCTGCTTGAAGTAATCATGTTGATTTATGTTGTAAACATCCACTTCATGCAAGATGGTGCAGCCAAGACTCTCAAGTTCATTCAAGTTTCTTATTGCACTTGTGTACTTCATTGCTAGAGAAGCTTCAAATATAAAATATTATGAATAAAATAATTTCAGTTAGTACAACTGAGTAATCCATGCATGCACTCATGTCATTAAAAAAATAATAACTAATTAGCAGGAAATTAAACCCATATTTTTACTTTAAAATAGACTTTAAAAGGACACACAACGAAGGTTGTAAATCAATTTTACAAATGTCTAATCTATTGTACCTCTATCCTCTAGGGAGGTGGCAACCATGTTAATAGCTGAGCCAAATGCCCTTGCCAAGGAGAGTGAGAAGGAGAAATCTCCCTCTCCCACAAGCAAAATATTATGAAAGCTACTGTAATGCTTTATAATTTTCTCTTCCATTTTCTCTAATCAAATTGCTTCTAATCGAATGATTATTAAATACTACTCCCTCACTTGTAATATCAATGTCGTTTAAAGTTTTTGCACACAAATTAAGGAATCTAATGATATTGTTATAAAATATTATAGTTTTATAAAATTAACCCTATTAATATATTGGAAGTAGTGTAAAAAGTAAAAAGTAAACCGCACAAATAAAAAAATATTAATTATTATTATATTAAAAAGTGAGAACGACAATCATTTTAAAATAATTATTTTTTTTACTAAAATAACAATCATTTTGAAACCGAAAGAGTATGAATAATAATACTACTATCAATATATTTCATTCGTTTTAAAATGACTTTCATTTAATATTTTTGCACACAAATTAAGAAATACAATGATATTATCATAAGACATTACTTTTTTATAAAATTAACTCTATTAATATATTAGAAGTGGTATAAATAATAAAAAGTAAATGACACAATGAAAAAAATATTAATTATTACTATATTAAAATGTGAAAATGACCATTATTTTAAAATAAAATTTATTTACGACCTTAAGTTTGAAACGAATAAAGTATAATAATAGTAGACACGTTTTGTTATCCGGATAGAATTCCCCATAAAATGTTTGGAAATAGGAAACCGAGTTAAAAGTGTTCACATTTACTATTTTTTAATGTTTAATTTGTGACTTCCCAATTTCCAATCAAAGGATGCGCATGCAAGTGAACTTTACTTGAATAAAGGATCTTTACTTGTATGATTCTTTGAACAAAAAATACTTTGGATCTTCCCTTACTCTTTTTGTCCAACTATCTCTCTTTGTTTTTTTTTTTATAGCGAAAGTTATATGACCCACACAGAAAAATAGTTCTTAGAAAATAAAATAGTTGAGATTAGGATTTGTACGTGTGAAATAAAATTAGGGGAGAGTCTGCTCATATGTTTGATGGCGAGATTTTGTATACTAGAGTTTGATAAAAATTAATGAATGTTATACAAGTTTGAGAACTCTTTGGGTCGGGTAAGAACAAGAGAGTCGATTTTCCTCAGCTTTCTTGCGGATACGTGGGAGTAGGAAAAACCAATTCTTCCTCAAATCTTGGAGCAACAGTTTTTTCCCTTGTCTTCCATCACCTAAATTGTTCTCTCTTAGACACCTAATAGGCCATGTATGATAAACAAACGAAATATAGATATGAGATTGAGCTAGGCGGCCCAGGCCCAATAGCGAGACCCTGAGCGCACCTACTCAATAGTCCAATATTTTGAATGTTTTAGTTTGCCATTGGCTGTCTCTTCAAGGGCTTAATAAAATTATCTTAGTTCATACTCCCTCAAGCACGAGACTTGGAAATGTAGAAGTAGTGTACTTAAAATGGACGACGATCTTAATGATATGAGTCCTTTGAGAATTGTTTTAGACAAATTCCTAGAGCATCGTTGGAAGAAAGTTCCTCTAGTGTTGCTTAGGGTGAGTCCCTCAAGCAATCCTTGGGGCGAGTCCCTTAAGCATTCCCTAGAGAGAGTCCCCCAAGTGTTGCTTGGGGAACATGCATCATTTAATGCTTAGGCATATTGGCCTTTGTTTTAAGAAGGCACAATCGTGTGAACTATTGATCATATGCATGCCTACATATTTAGTCGTTGATGTTTTTGCCTCCCAATTGTAGGTGCATGTCTATGTTAGAACAATGATGACATACATGACCTAGGCAGTTTTGTTCATATTAACAAGTGTTTATTTCATTCATTGGAATTATACTTCAAAAAATATTCTACTTCTTCTCAATTGCGAATTTTCCTTTAGAAATTTTTCCCAGGCCAGACCATTTTGTCTTTCATCCTTTTTCCACTCAAACTCAAGTATTGCATCTTCCCAATATCCTTTTATATTTTCCTTTTCTGGAAATTGCAATTATTATGGATTTAGACGGGAGTGGAAATGTGATTGAACCCTCCACGGGTAGAGAGCTCACAGTGATGTGAGAATATTGTATGAAAAACATTTGGCGAGCTGACGGAATGACCAAGTACAAGCATTTTGAAAAAAGGATGTTTAGAAGTCACAAAAGCAACTATGATTCTAGCAGTGATAATCACTCATTTTCACCTCTTCTTTCTGAAGAAAATTAGGTTTGTTGATTGCGTTCAACTCTTCAAGAATATTGGAGGCTAAAGATCATGATACAGGGTATATTAAGCTAGAGAATGTGAACTCCTTTCATAAGGGCTTGAATTTGTCTAGCTAAGGGGGTGAGGAGGACTTCATCTTGTATTCTTGATCTAAAGAAGAAAGGGCCCATATGGTTCTCTTTGACGATTCAGAGGGAAAATTATTCTACATGTACCTTCGGATAGTCCAGGATTTAGGGGTGTTAACCCCCTTCACTATGTTTGAGTCTGAAGTGTTCCAAAACATATATGTCTCCCGTTATCAAATAAATCAAAATGCACAGACCTTTATATAGGAGTTTGAGATTTTATATAAGAATTCAGAGGTATCTCCCACTGTGGGTCTCTTAGTCTCTTTTTATGACACCAAGACTATTAGCAAGGGCGGTTGGGTCACCTTGAGACTCCTACCTGGGAGGGTTCTCTCCCCCACTCAAACAATTATAAAAATTAGAAATATATGTTCGTGAGAGTGAAGAGTAAAGATGTCCAAACTATGGTAATATTTGATGAGAACAACAAAAATTGATTTTCGTTTTACATGATGGAGGACCTCTGGCGATAAATGAGTTAAATTATGAGTTCCTTACCAAAAAACATAGAGAGGTCGTTGACATCTTATACAATTTTTGTATAATGAGCTCTAAAGAGATGATATAGTTCGACAAGAGTTATAATGGCAACAAGTAAATCGGTGAGTACTTGTGTAATTGTAGTCATTATTTGGGCATTACCGCATACATAATGTCTTTGGCTTATATATTATCTTCATTTACAGGATGAATATTAAATATAATAAGGCTCTTCATGCCAAGGAAAAGGCTGATTGGGGAGAGAGATTTCCTGATGATCCCCACATATATCCTGACAACCTTTTCAAAAAATGGAAAAGGAAGACAGACAATAGAGGAACTATTATCTCTACCTTCCCTTTGAAGATTTAGAAGTTGGTTCAAGTAGGATCTGCTTCACTTATAATGACGTAAAAAAATCACACATCATCAATATGAATGGAACATTAAAGAAAGGTAAAGATCTTATTTTCTCCCTCTAAGACGAGGACTTTGACGCCAAGAGTTATGTGCAAATGATATGATAGGCATGATCGAACTGAAAGCATCTAACGAACACCGCTTCATACTGGTTGCAATTGATTACTTCACTAAATGGGTAGAAGCGACATCCTATGCAAATATGAAAAGTCAAGTGGTTACTCGATTCATCAAGAAAAATCTCATATGCAGATATGGGGTTCCAAGCAGGATCATTATGGACAACGGGTCTAATCTGAACAACACAATGATGAAGGAGCTATGCAATAATTTCAAGACCGAGGATTATAATTCCTCACCATATCGACCCAAGATGAACGAGGCTGTTGAATTTTCCAATAAAAACATCAAGAAAATCATTCAGAAAATGGTAAAGATATTCAAAGATTGGCACGAAATGCCTCCCCTTGCTCTACATGGCTATCGTACCTTTGTATGCACATCAACAGGTGCAACTCCTTTCTCTCTAGTATATGCCATGAAGGCAGTACTCCCAGTTGAAATAGAGATTCCATTACTTCAGGTTCTAATGGAAAAAATCTCGAAGAAGTGGAGTGGGTTCAGACGCGACTTGATCATCTCAACCTTATTGAAGAGAAACACTTGACAACTTTGTTCTACGGCTAATTATATCAGAAGCGGATGAATAAAGCCTTCGATAACAAAGTCCGCCCTCGAGTATTCAAAGAAGGGGATTTAATGCTCAAAAAAATTCTACTACCTTGCCTCGATTCACGTGGTAAATGGACACTCAACTACGAAGGTCCATATATGGTAAAAACAATATTCTTCGGTGGTGGTCTCATCCTCACAATAATGGATGGGGAAGAGCTACCACATGAGGCAAATTCACTCACAATCAAAAATTACTATGTATAAGAAATCTCACTAAGTTCGAACCTTAAATAGGAGACTTAGGCAAAAAGGAGCGTCCCGGTGGATTGAAAACCCTAAAGGGAGATCTAGGAAAAATTTTGGGACATACACAAAAAAATTATCCTGGTGGATTGAAAACCCGAAAGAGCGATCCAGGCAAAAATTAGGGATCTTATTCAGAATAAATAAATAACAAAGAGACTGCGATCTAAGAATTGCGACTAAAAATCACGAAGGAAGAGATGGATCCAAATCATTCAACTCAGAAGCAAAGGATATTGGAGATATCAAAAGGACATTGGGGAAACAACAGTAACAATTATCATTTTCATTGTCATTTATAGTTTTAAAAATTTATGTAATTACCTCTTTCAAGTAATTTCATCTTGTAATTTGGCCTATTCAAAGCCACGTCAATTTTTTTTTACTATTTCCATTTTTTTATTGTGTTTTTTTTTCCAGACTTGTTTGCAAGATACTACAATTATTTCTTATGAATACTGTGTTGTAATCATTTTGGGGATTTGACAAATATAAGAACTTGATAAAATATTAAAAAGAATTTTGGTTAGAAAAGCATCGACATCCACACCTACGCCTGCGACACAAATATCAAATCCTGCAGACACTTTCCATCATGCTCAAATCAATTCAAAGATACCACGATGATGCAACACGCAACATCGGGGAGTTGGTAACACAAAACCATTGGTTTAAGAAGAGGGAATATCAAAAAAGAAAAACATTTTTCATAAAATTTTGGGGCATATGCACACATTTTTTACATATGTAAATATTTGGGGCATACACAGACACTCAGTGCATATACACTTTGGGTTCCATATCGATCTAGGACATTATACACTTACATCACACATTGCATTTTTTCAAACACACTTTG